GGGGGGGGGGGGCAAGTGGCAAAATGAAAAACATTAAAGAAGCCACTACGGGGGGCAATTCCAGCACAATTACAGAGATCTCTACCTAAAAATCACATAAACAAAGCAACTAAAACCCATTACCATCCGGAACAGCATTCATTGTTAGGAATGGAAACCTAACTGATCATTTCTGAGGCCATCCTAGACAAGCAGTTGTTACGTATTTGTCATAAATTCTTCACTTTGCTGAGACGGGGGTCTTCATTATCAACCCCTTTCATTACTATATACCTAGTCAGGTTGTAGAGAGATGCACGTCATTAATGACTGCATATAGATGATTGTAAACCTGAGGGGAAGTGGGGAATCATGGACCCAAGCTGCTAGAAGAACAAAACAAGACCTCAGAGTTCCTGGGATCCGGCCTACACCCATCCGTTCAGGTGTGAGTATGTTTCTGCATTCCGATTTCCTTTGTCCCAATCTGGGGATAGAGGGCTTTCCGTCAGTGTGGGGAACCTCTCAGCTAGGTACAGACATTTAAAAAACCTGAGGCAGAAACGATTTAAGTTGCACAGATTTCTGTAAGCAGCATAGTTTAGATCGGTAGCAAACAAAACACATTTGCCCTTTGGTGGGGTGGGAAATCTTAGACTGAGTTCTGCCATTTTTAAACTGGTCTGTTTGTCCCAAACTTCTACTCTGTTACAGGTATAGACCAGTTTCTGATCATTTATACCAGTAAAAGTGTAATTTCTGTACCTGGCCTTGGAGTTGGAGTCTTTTGGCTCATTTTATTCTGATCATACTCGCGGGCAAGTATGTATCTGACAGGATGGGATAAGCAATCCTGTGAAGCATGTTGTATTGAGATTATGCAATTTAGTTTGGAAGAGGCGCTTACAGAAGTGGGTGGCTGCCTACCAAGGCTTACAGAAGTCTAGGAAGAAATAAAATATAGTACAGTATCATGAAGTGTTCTAAAAATGGAGTTATTATTGTTTAAAAGATGAGAACAATTTGATGGATCCAGCTTGGTAAGTAGAATTTAAGCTACTAAATTCCATTTGGCCATGCTACATAAGCAGCGAGAGGTTATTAACTGTATTAGTCTGAAGTCAGGCACAAGGGCAGGGCAGATATGCTCCTTTACAGACTAACTGAATAGAAGCTGTATATAGAGCACAAGCTTTTGTAAACCCAAGTTCATTTCATCGCAGCATCTGATGAAGTGAACTTGGGTTCACAAAAGTTTGTGCTACGCATATCTTATTTAGCTTTACGCCTATAAAGGTGCATAACTCCCCCGCCTCATGTTACATAAGGCATAAAAACTTAGTAAGAACCTTAGCTTGGGATGTGCCTCTCTTTTGAATAACTAAGTTTCCCAGGTACACTCAAAAGGAGGGACTGGACCCCAGAACTTGCATCTCCCAAGGCAATGCAATAATAATCAGACTACAGAGATGTGCTCCTTCTCATATACTGCCCAAACTCTTTCTGCATTTTATATTAGACCGGTGATTCTCAACCACAAGATCTCTGTAAGTTGCTGTTCCCATCCTCTACATGAGGAGGTAAGTGCTCTCCTCCCATCATCCAGTGCCCTGCATCCAAACCAGAGACCCTAGCAGTGCCTGCAGCTGCTCCTCTAAGAACTGGCATTGCCACCGCCCTCCATCCAACCCCTGTGCTAGCTGCCCCACACTCCCAGCAGCACACTCTACTACAGTGTGGGGCATGCTTTGTAGCCCGACTCATCCCCTCTGATCCTTAACTGCTCCTGGGGCCAGTGAGAGGAGCCACAGTGGCAGCTCTGCTGTGTGAGACCATACAGGAGCACCCCTGGCAGCGCGGGACCATCCTTGTCCCCCCAGATACAGACTGGGGGTGGAGAGGGGACAGACAGGGGAAAGAACAGGCATGGCATGCTTAAGAGTCCTGCCCCTGCAGCCCTTACCTGGCACAAGCTAGATCAATGGCTCTCAACTCTTCTTACTTCAAGACACCTCCCCATCTTTTCTGAATGTAGATTCCAGTTCAGTGATTCTTGGCAATTCAGAAAGTTATGGAGGAGGTGCCTTGAGGCTAAAAAGGTTGAGAACCACTGTAGTAGATAGTCACTGATTTAAAAAAACAAACCAAAAAACAGAAATAACCCTGGCCACACAGACTCCCCTCTCCCAAGCCAGTGCTCTTGCCACTAGCGACTAGACTGTAAAAGCATGCTCTTTCCTGCTTGTCTTCTCTCTTGGAACATGACTCTTGCACTCTTGGCCCAAGAGTGCCATCACCCACCTAATTTATGTTTAAGACACTTTCTGGGGAGAGCAGAAGATGCAGGGTGAGTAGGGGCTAGAGTCCAGGTTTCCCACTTTCTGAGCAAATGCTCTAATAAGCCTACTAGGCCAAAAAGTTAACACTCTCAGCCCCACCACATTAAGCACCTACCTCAGAAATGGGACAGGGAATACTGCATCACAGATGAACAGAGGTGTCTACAGTGTGGCATAAGTTAGACACCTAAGCTCTGGAGAGGGATGGAAATTCATGCTTACCCTCTGCTCAGTATTTCCTATTGACTGCCTTCAAATGCCTCTGGGTTCTCCAAATTGTCCTTTAGAGCAGCATTTCTCACCCCATGGGGCGCAAGAATATATGAAAGTGTCATGAACCAACTTTAAAAATGGATTCTCTTTTAAGGGAGAAAAACATGGGGAACACATGGCTTTTCCCTTGCAGGATGGCAGAGTTCCCTGCCCCCACCCACCCATCCCCTGCCCCACACACTGTGGGGCTGGGGCCTAGGGACAGGGGCAGCAGGTCAGAAGTGAGGGACACAGGGTCAGGACTGGCCATCGATGTTTACAAATGGGTCCTGGTACAAAAAAGGCTGAGTATCATTGCTTTGGAGACACATGCTTCTCACTCTACTCTGCAGAGAACACACAGGTGCCTGCACTTGGTCAAACTGAATCACACCTGAGGAGTGGCTAGGTCTCCTGATTGACTGTACAGAGATCCTTGGGGCCTAAATATAGTCAAACTGGATCACACTCCTGGGCCAAGGTGCAGAGTTTACATTGCGGGACCCCTACATCCAGGTGATTCCAAAACCAAATTGCATGTAGTCTTTTGTGAAGAACATAAAAGAGCAAAAACACTACACTGCCCAGCATACTCACCTTTCAAGGATAAAGACAAATGATCAGGTAGATCATTTGCTTGAAGATTTACTTGCCCAGAAGAGAATAGGACATTTTCATGAGCAAGCCTCATATACTTATGTCTTTAAAAATAAGGTATGCTACTTAAATTTCTACCCCTGTAGTTGCTAATAACAAGTCAACAAATGTCCTTCAAATATGAACAAAGTGTAACCAATCCAGTGCTTTTTTACCATGGGAACCTTACTCTAGTGGAGGCATGTACTGGAGCAAGAAGACAGTTGCAGGAATACCGTATGGGGTATTCAACAGTGGAAAGTCTACAGTGCAGTTCTATCACTCTCACTTCCTGCTAGGAGCTTAAGGGGAACTGTGAAGTCCCAGAACTGTGCTATCTGCTACTATAGCAGCCACAAAGCTGTAGGAAGAAAAAAATTGGTGGTATAGAGGAAAAAATGTTCTCCTGCCTTCTAGCATGCAGAAGCCAAGTTGAGGCTTCAAGGCTAGTTTAAACATTAAGTGAATCCTCAAACAGAATCCAAAAACAATACAATAACCTGTTAGGATTCTCAGCAGCCCACCCTTTCTTCGCTGTTTCCAGTTTGTGGTGAAATGAATCCTCACCTCCTCATTGTCCTTTAAACACAAGCTATCTATCTTGTCTAACAAATCTTTGTTTAGTGGGAAATAGCTAGCTGTGTTGTGAGCTCTTGCTCATGGAAGCTTATACATTCTGATTCAGTTAGTCTATAAGGTGCAAATCTTTGTTTAGACAAGTTATGTACATTTATGTAGAGGGATGGGTATAAGGAGGTTTTGCA